ATGGTAGTGGAGAAACTTGGAAACCACTTTCTCCATTAGACCCCACTCTGCTAAAATCACTCGATTTGAGTCGTGTGGTTTAGCATAGTCGTTGTGGACAGTACGGCTGAATTTAGCTGGAACTCCGAATTTATAAAATGGCATGTTATGGTTAAGTAGCCCTCATTTGCCATGTATGTCGGCTGTGATCGCCACATTTCCCACGCAATTCAAGGCAAATTAAAGATTTTTTTCAAATCTGCATATGCGTTTGGAATCGCTACGTTACGGAGATGGGTCTTGCTTGGTAACTTGTAGCGGGGGTCAATTTCTGCCAACAACTCGCGAAATCCTCTATCATTGACAACACTAAACGGTTGCACGTCAATTGCGATCATTCGCGCTACGCGCCTATCACAGTTTTTTTCTTAAAGTTCCTATGATACACTTATTAATATTTTATACATACATATGTATGTATGTGTGTGCATATGAAAAATCACATGTGCGTTTACTCAATTATTGAATTACGTTAATAACTTACTCTTGAGATGTTTTTCCATCGCGTAATAATTGCACACTCGCCTGTGCTTCCAATCCAAACTAAGCCAATATATAAGCTACATATACATATATAAAAGAGGGTTTTAATATAAATATAAATCTATATACATATATAACGAGAAGGAACGTGTGAATCGCTTCTGGGGACGCGACTCTACTTATACCCGTACTCAGTCAGTATATACATTTTTTTGCTACATATGTTATCTAAATATAACATGTAGATTCTACATGTACCATTTAGATTCTACATCTCCTCCGCTAGGGGTTGCTAGCGCACGGAACGCGGCAGAGTGTGCGAGCGAGAAAGAGAATGAGTAGCGTGGTCGCTACTGTCAGGAGGGGGCGGGGGAAACAACTAAAAATCAATTTCTTCATTCTGGCTATAATTATGATCTGATTCAGATTCAGATTCAGGTCCCGGCATCACGCGTGAACGGCTGGGCCGAGCTAGGGCAAACAAATTTGGCTTCCAGACTCATGTTATATCACACTGCTAAACATTTTCGCCCCGCCCCCTTTAGCCCCCACAAAGAACGAAAATCTGTGGCAGGCACATTTTTAAAGGTACGATAAAACTCAAAACGCAGTATCGTCGAAAAAGACCATTTCTACCAGATTGCTGAATCTGAATCAGATCGGATCATAATTTTAGACATAATGAAGAAATTAATTTGCAGTTGCTTCCCCCGCCTCCTTCAGATAGAGACCCGCTACTCATTCTCTCTCTCGCTCGCACACTCGTTATATTTTTTTAAACTACACAAATCATAAGCTCAAAAATGAATATACTGACTGAGTACGGGTATAAGTAGAGTCGCGTCCCCAGAAGTCGTTGACGATTGTCTTTTACAGGTATGGAAAGACTGGAGACTGGCCATCAAAAGAAAAATTTCTCGTAACAGGCGGGAGGCCAGAGCCACAGGTGGTGGGCCTTTAAAGCAGGTGGCACTCACTCCCACTGAGGAGGAGATAGCCCTTCTCTGCAATATGTTCGAGGCGGTGGATGGCGTGGCTGATGCCAGAACAAATGGCATCCTGTAGTGCGTGAGAAGAAGGAGAACGTAGAAGAGCCGTCCCCAAAAAGACCACGTATGGATGGTGAAAGCTGCAGCAAAGACAAAGCGGAAACTGACCACAAGCTGACTGCAATGGTGGCAGATGGGACGCTGGTGGAGCTCAAGAAAAACGCGCAGGAGATGTTAGAGGAGCGCAAAAGGACAAACTTAATATAAGAGACATTACTTTTAGCCATAGACGAAATTTAAGTAATTAATTTAGAAATAATAAAAATACATACTTGACAAAACTAAATACATTTATTTATTAAAAATAACATCTACATAAAAAAGAATTAACGTCATTTTAAAGAAGCTGCTATGGTATCCCGAATTCGTGCAGTTGGTTCAGGCTGATCAAAATTTGGTAAAGCGCCAACTTCTTCGCGTCTTTCATTAGCTTCGACAACACGAAATTTCTAATCCTTATGCTCGCGGCACAGCACACATTTATTATGCATGTGACCTTTAGGGGATTATACAGAAGGATCGCTTGGAGTAGTCTGAATCAGCTTTTAATAACTCCAAAAGTTCTCTCAATCACATTTCTTGCAGAAGCATGACGAAGATTAAAAGTATGTTGGTTGGACCCTGCCGTTGGATTTCTGTAAGGCATAAGAAACGAGAAGGAACGTGCGAGTCGCTTCTGGGGACGCGACTCTACTTATACCCGTACTCAGTCAATATATATATTTTTGAGCATATCATTTTTTAGAATTTTAGAATTAAAAAAAAAAAATTTTACACTTTACATTTTTTTGCTACATCTGTTATCTACATCTACATATATTATGTATATTCTACATCTAACAAGTAGATTAAACATGTACCATTTAGATTCTACATCTCCTCCGCTAGGGGTTGCTCGCGCACTGAACGCGACAGAGTGTGCGAGCGAGAAGGAAAATGACTTGCGTTGTCGTTGTCAGGAGGGGGCAGGGGAAGCGACTGAAAATTAATTTCTTCATTCTGGCTATAATTATGATCCGATCTGATTCAAAATCGGCAGTCTGGTAGATATGGTCATTCTCTACGATACTGCGTTTTTAATTTTAGCGTATCTTTAAAAATGTGCCTGCCACAGATTTTCGTCCTTTGTGTGGGCGGAAGGGGGCGGGGCGAAATTTTGAAATACACTTGTAGCAGTGTGATATCACATGAGTGCGGAAACCAAATTTGGTTGCCCTATCTCTTATAGTCTCTGAGATCTAGGCGCTCAACAAGACGGACAGACAGACAGACAGACAGACGGACAGACGGACAGACAGACATGGCTATATCGACTCGGCTATTGATGCTGATCAAGAATATATATACTTTATGGGGTCGGAAACGTTTCCTTCTCTGCGTTACACACATCCACTTTTACCACAAATCTAATATACCCCTTAACTCTTTTTTGAGTACGGGTATAAAAAGCGTTCTAAGGGGTAACCCGAATCTCCAATTACCACGGGAACCAGTTGCTCCAGGCTTCGAAGCATCCACATAAATGCCTTTAAGGTCGTAATCACATATCTATAGGAAGCAATATTTAAAAGTTAACAAAATATATAGACAACATTGGAACAAAAAACAGCGTTCTTAAACACACATAAAAAACAGACAGACAAAATTAACAAACCACTTCTACACAATAAGAAAAGTAAACATCCTAAAAGCATCTCACTTACTGCCATTACGTTTAAGCTAAAATACCCCTTAAATTAAAATAAACTTGCTCGGCATTACCGGCTTCATGATCTTGAGTGGGTGACTTAAATGCACCCAATAACACCAGGAATCCCATACTTTTTATAGAAATGCTGTTTGCATTTACGCTGCTTTTGCTTTGATTGCTTCAGTTGAATGAAACGGGGACCCAGTTTCCATTCCAGCAAAGCTATGTTCCACACCCTCACGGAATAACTAGCAAATTCCTTGCCGCAATTTTCCGCGGTGCTGGAGACAGGCCTTAACGAAACAAATTAGCATAAGCATTAGTGCTTTAACTCAAATCAGTTCAGATGTTTGTTTTTTATTAACAGATGATTTTTGCCAGGCACGGAGAGTTGATTCTATTTGTCTTCATATTCCATATTCTCAAATTCCAATATTTGCTTCGTGTTTGCTGGCAAAATATATCAAATTGATATAACTTTCGAGGGGGTTCGCAACATACCAGCAAATACTTCGGATAGTTTTCTAGTCTCTACCCTGCAGTACGCGTAAGCGATGTGTAAGCAACCACACATCGATGGCAACGTCATGCAGCTCGATGACATAAGCGATGACCTGCCATACGATGGGCTGTTTACTTTAACACAGGGACGTCCTAGGAGCATAATCGATGACATAGTAAGCGAGAATTAACCGAAGGTCAGGCCTTAATAAGCGATGAATTTCCCTTAAAAAGTAAGGCCTTAATAAGCGATGAATATCCCTTAAAAAGTAAGGCCTTAATAAGCGATGAATTTCCCTTGAAAAGTAAGGCCTTAATAAGTGATGTATTTAAGTAAAAATTTTTGATATTTTGAGGAAAAATATTTTTGTTTTAAAATATTAAATTTCTTTTATTTATTGTTTTCTTATAAAAATGTATACATATTCACATTTTTGTGCTGTGTGTTCTTTTTTTCCACAGAACCTTTTTAGTTTTTTTGATTTGCTCATGTTAGTAAGGCCGTCGTGGTCATTCCGGGCACTTCAACTGAATCGCCTTTAAAACAGATGGGTTAATTAAAATATTTTTCAATTTGTTAACAATGCTCTCAGTAGATCAGCAGTGCATTTGCGCCAAAAACAAAACACCCGCCAAGATATGTACCTGTTCGACTCAAGACTCGCAAGAACCACTCGGGTGGTTTTTTTTCTGTTTTCGTTGTAGGAAATGAAAACTTTCGTCCAAAACGCCTTTAATTTCGCAATATCACATTTTCTTCATTTTTTACAACGCACAATAGACTATTTTTAATTAAATGAAATTATTATATTTGTCATCATTTGACATCGGTATGGTTAGTGCCTCGGTCGAGTCGAGCGACAACAGAATATGAAGTCTGACGACGGGAATAGGTCCAGGGCCGGATTAGCAGTTGCCTAGGCCCCCCCCAGGGGAAACAGAAAAATTTGTTGAGAAAACAAAACTCCAACTAATTAATGCAAAATATAATATCCACCGATAAACTGATAAAACATTTTTAAGGTGTTTTTTTCAAATGAAAAAAGGGAGCTGGCGTGAAGAAAAGGAGGGCCCGGTTGAGGGTTGATCCGGCCCTGAATAGGTCTAGTTTGGGTTTTTTTTTTTTTGTATTTAATCGCTAAAGCGAATTGAGTGGTCGCACGACGATGAATCTGCAATGACCAGATACTTCAGTTGGTATGGTGCTATCGATGTTTTGTTGTGGAGGGCATGCACGGTGTTGCTTTTCGATGATTCCAAGGTTTTGTTGATGAGGGCATGCACGGTGTTGCATTAAGATGATGTTCTCGGTGATATTAATTTTACAAAGTAATGTTAGGTGTAATGATTTTAACAAAGTACATTGGGTTGGTGTTAACGGTGTAGGTAATTATACAGTATAATATTTAGTTTAAAAGTGTATTCGTGTGCGTGAGTTTTACAAGGAAATTAATAATAAAATGTCAATTATACAATGTAAGGGTTAGAAAGTGTAATGTGTATGTTTTAATGTTTACGTTTTACAGGTATTCTAAGATTAAAGTGATATGTTTGTTTGAGATTAGTTTGTATGAAAATTATCACAGAAAAAAAGCAACAGAAGGTTGCTCCAGAGAGTAGGAACAACAGAAGGCTGCTCCTCAAAGTGACTTCCGATAGCACCGAGTTGCCTGAATTGATCCCATGTGCTTTGATTCAAAACTCCAAATTGGCCTCATCAATATATTTCGCCAATTCTCTAAAGAAAAGAGGCTCTTTTGTGAGTAATAACTCCTTGATGTTATTAAATCGCTTGAAAATCTTGTACTTTTTTCTAATACTGGCATGTCTCTGGCAGTAGAAAATTTCGTGTTCCGCATCATTGAGAACACTGCAAACTTCACAGATGTTGGTATTTCTGGCTTTGATCCTATGTAAAAAGACGTGATCATAGGTACGTCCAATAAGTAGTCTGTTTATGACCTTTATATTTTTGGCACGCCAGTCAAGAGCCCAGTGCCACGGTTTGACTGGAATCTCGCTATAAATTGAAGCAAAATACGCCCCTTTAATTTTTCATATTTCTTTATACTCATTATTCCAGTCGATCTGGACTCTAATCTTAACTGTTCTAATTACTTCATCGAAGCTGAGAGGTATGTTAACTATTCTACCCACGCTAGTGGCTGATTTGGCTAGTAAGTCAGTCTTTTCGTTAATAGCAATGTTCTTATGACCGGGTATCCAGTGCAAAATAAAGTTGCTAGTGAAGGAATTGTCTATATTGAGGTGGATTTCGTCTGTTAAGTATGAATTTGATTCATTGCTTTTCAGAGCCTTTAAGGCCCCTTGACTATCACAGAGAATAACGGTTTTATTATATCTTTTTTTACTTGATATCTTTACTGCTGTTAGTATTCCTACAAGTTCTGCAAAAACAGAAGAGGAATTATTTTCAATCTTAAATTTATAGCTGTTGTTACTAGGGTAATCCAAGATACCTATACCTATCCTATCACCATTGATGGAGGCATCAGTGGAAAGAATGTTCCACCCATCTAACACCCACTCTTCAAGCTTGGCTTGATATATGGCATTACATTCTTCGTTTGAGATGTCTTTTTTTTTCCTGTCAAAGACTGAGAAACAAATTGCAGCTTTAGGACTGTGTTTGTATTTTTTATTTTCAGTATAATTGTCGAAAAGGTCCCTAAATTCTTGGTACACGGCTGTGTAAGCAGTCCTTGCGTTAGACAGAGTGACATTATCATAAAGAGTCGGGTTTAGCACTTTAACCTTAAGCAGTTCTCTGACTGTAAGAATCTTAGCTCTTTGTTTAGGCGGTAAAATACCAGCCAGAGCAAAAATTAGGTGCGTAGATGTTTTTGGAGGGACACCCACACATCGGCGAGGGCAGTCCGTCTGTGCAGTATTAAGAGATTTGCTATTATTAATGTTTAGATTTGAAAAACTGGTAATGGCGTGCTCCTGCTGAGATCTGATGAAAGATTTGAAGATGTTTCAAGAGATTTTGGGTTTGAGACCTGATTTAATGGTGGTTACAGCATGTAGCAGAAGCTGACTTTTGTCTGACTTGTCCCTGATTTTTGCAATGTGCAATTTGTCTGACATATTGGCACTAAGGACTCTGCCTAAAAAGGTGATGGATTCCTTTATCGGAAAACTGCTATTATTGCATGTTACCGAGATGTTGTTACGTCTTCCCCTCCCAGCAACCATAACTGCAGATTTGCTGGGATTGAAATTAAGACCTAGATCCTGACAGAGCAAATGAAAGTTATCGATCTTTACCTGTAAGTTGTTCCTAGCTTCAGTTATGTTGTACCCAGTTGAGATGATGGCAAAATTATCAGCAAACTGAATTACAGTCGTATGGCAATCATTGATTTGATGCAGCCTTTTGGTGTACAGATTGAAAAGTATAGGCGAGAGGCAGGAGCCTTGAGGCAAACCACCATTGACTTCTTTAATGGAGTCACCAAGTTTTAAGAATCTTGATGAGAAGAAATTAACAATCTAATCTGTATATTGCGTAGGAATGTGTTCATGATCCATTAACATTTGTAGGGTTTGTAGATTAACACAGTTATATGCATTATCTATGTCTACAACGACAGTTACAACCGATTTCCCCCGTTTTTTCTCATGGGCCATGGTATTGATACATTTATACACATGGCTGCTGATTTGCCTTTTTGGTAGGCATAAGTCCGTCTGGGCATGGTATTGTGTTCTTCTAAGAACATATCATTTTGATAAATGCTGAGATCCTTACCTCGCTTTGGGATGGGAATGACTTTGATGGAACGCCATTGATCAGGGACTCTACACTTTGTAAATAGCTTGTTGTATTCTTGTATAAGATTGTTCTGTGCTGGACTACTGAGTGCTTTTACCATATCATATGTAACCATATCATATGTAATCAATGTTCAGAGAAGTTTTTCTAGGAAAATATGTTTGAACTTTCGCTGATACAGAGACTTGTCTTCTAAGAAACTCAAGGTACGGAGAAGACCATTCTGAACTAAAGCTTGATTTTAAAGGATCATTGAAGGACTTGATGTTCCTCAGGAAAAGCCAGGCTTTCCTTGAGTTTGGCTGTTGATTGAGTATATGAATTTTGTTGGCATTTACTGCCTTTTTCCATTCTGTTTTCAGGTTAACCACTCTTATATAGTTGTTCAGACTTGGAGCTCTCTGTGCCAGGATTTGTGATTCTGTATATTTTGAGTGCAGCAGCTGTAATTCTGGATTCCACCAAGCTTTGGGGCATCTAATGTTGCTTAAGGCATAAGTTGAGACCCGTGAGGCTATTCGTGATGTTTGATATATTTTCTGATAGCGTAGCACCTGCAAGTCTTCTAAGGAGTCTGTTTTTGGCAAGAAAGAGCCTCGGCTTCTCTTTGGTTTCTGGTATTATTATTGAGATAGGGTGATGGTGGCTGCCTCCAACAAAAGTGGAATTACAGCTCCAAGTGATATTTTCACAGCAGTTTGTGAATGTTAGATCCAAAACAGAACCACTTTGACTGTCGATATGACGTCTAAAGGTGCAGTTTCCATAATTTAAACACTTATAGCCAGAATTACTCATATAGTCTTCCAGAAATCTACCCTTGGCATTCGTGACGTAGTCACCAAAGCAGGTGTTTTTTGCATTGAAATCTCCAGCAAAAATCACGTTGCTCCTGCCATCAGGCTTCTCAACAATGTCTTGAATTACATTTTTAAAAGTATCTGTCTTCATTGAAGGTTCAAAGTAGACTGAGACAATGGTAAAGTTTTTGTTTAAGTTGCATGTTTTGGCGATGAGAACATCGTGATCTAAGTTGTAGACTTCTTTTTTAAGTTTTATACCGTTTTTAAAAGCAATGGCTACTCCACCGTAACCATCATCTCTATGTTTTTCAATAAGATCATAATTGATCAGTTTTCTATAGGTAGTATCATGAGAAAAAACTTCGGAGAAAATAGCAATGCTATATTCACCAGAGTTAAGGGTATATTCTATGTCATTTTTATTGTTTTTAAGAGATTGGACATTGAGCTGTAAGATTTTAACAGTCATTATTATGTAAAAGGTCTATATTCTTCCCTACATGCTGTTTGCTGTGATGCGAGCTACCCTGTAGGACTTTTCCTCTGATGTTTTGAAGAATATTAGTGCCGTTAGCTGACAAGAGCAGTACAGGAGTGATAAGTTCAAGAATTTCTTGAACTATAGTGCTATTGACACTACTTAGAGTGTCCCCATTTTCCTTGTTGGGAAATTTATAGGCATGATTATGCGCCTCGCTATAGGCGAATTGGAAGAATTTGAAGAAATTTGTTTTTACTATCTGGCAACGGGAGCACGGAGCCAGCTCTGTGATAGATTTTTCCTTTGATTTTGAGAGTTCGCATGAATTGGCCAGTCAAGATTTGCGCACCAAAGGACGTCATTTGGAAGAAAGAATTATATTTCCTTATGTTCGATAGAGACTGCTTCGATTCAGCAGTAGATCCAGCAAGTGGCTCTGGTGGTGCTTCAAGTGCAGGTATTTTGATTTTCCCGCCAGCACAAGACAATCCTTTCGTTTCATTATTAAACTTTAGAGCCTTGCAGTGAGTGCAGACTGATCTGGCCAATGAGGACATGGCGACTGGCGCCTAATCAACATCTGGATCATATCGAAATGCAATATGATTGTATTGCTGATTTCGATCTATTGTTATCTCTGCACGTAATTCAGCAACCTTTGCCCTATCTTTTAATTTCTTTGCGAGCGAACCAGATCTGTGGCTGCAGAACGCGACTGTCGTCACAGAACACGCCTGGCTGCAAGGCTTTCTGCTGGTTCCATGATAATCCTCTGCCTTTGTAAAGACAAAGGTCTTTGTCTAGCTGCGATTCCCCCTCTTACACAGTTCTATTCGAAGCACTTCCTCTCGTAATTTCTGCGTTGCAAAGGGGCTGTTGAGCTACTGAGCTTTTTCAGTAGCGTTGTTTTGCGATATATTTACAGATTAAATATGGTTTATTGTTGTGGACAGTATATAAGGCGATACAGAGTCGAAGGGATAGCGAAATGTTCGAGTTAGCTTGATGACGAGAGCACGGCGAGTCGGTTGGATATTCAAGACGGGGTCAGATTGTAAACGCGGGGGTCGGTACAAGACAGTGTCGGATTGCATAGCTCGATTCCAAGACGATGTGCAAGAAGTGAGTGCAAGACGAAATCAAAGGGCAGGCGGGCAGTATTGCCCGTGTCCTAATGCGAGCGAGAGAGCGACAGATCTAGAAAGTGATAGCGAAAGGCTAGAAAGAAAGGTGCGAGATGAAGACGCGAGAGAACGGCTGCATTCATAAATGTGTACATATGTTTTTTAGTACAGTGGGCAGTGCAAACAACGAACTATAATGAGGATTTACTCTACTGCTGCACCACTGGATATATTCTATGTATTTAATTCCACAATTTGGCTGCGTAGCCAAACAGAGACTCTGGATTGAAAAAAATACTAACATTTGACAGCCATGGAAAGACCTTCTTTATACAACAATATTTAAATCGCGATTTTCAGAGCTCCGGTCGCTTGTGCATGACTCTAGGCCTGACTCTATTGTGTGGAGAAACGAACACAACATTTTTATAAGCATAGATAGAAGATAGATATGTATTTATATGTATGTGTACTTATGTAGTTTAAATAAGACAACTTCAATATTCTATAGAGAATTCTCACAAAGGGCTTCATTGACTCCGTAAGAATGTTTTTTGCCATATTTTGGATAGAATTTAACGGCTGTAGCTACGATGGCCACAAGAACGACGACAGCGATGCACCACCCCACTACGGAGAGCCAGTTGGATGACTCCGATCTATTTTTGTGGCTTTGGCTGGGCTCGGCCTTGGCTGCATCATTCTTCCCTTGATTTGAGGTTGCCTTGGGTTTGGCGGCCTTGCATATGTAGCGCACTACCTCGGAGCTGTAATCCCCACTTCCCCCACACACTAGTTGGCCACTCGAGGGATCGCAGAGGCACTCACGCAGCTCCAGGCAGGGCTTGTCATGATCATCCACACAAACGTTGACACATTTGGCGTTGTTTAGGGGTCCCAGTTCGTCGAACTCATTCCAGCAGAGGCATTCCTGAGAACAGTTCGTGTCTGGCAATTGTGAGACCATATCGATGGACGTAGAATCTTCTGTGGTGTCAGTGGGTGTGGAGGCAAAAGTAGATGTAGAGTCGGAAAATGACGTGGAGGTGGAGGTAGTCTGAAGCGTCTGAAGAGTACATCCCATATCTGTCTGCTCATAGCCAGGCTGGCATGCACACACCTCTGGCTCCAGGCAGTGGGGAACGCAAGTGGATAAGGAGAGGTGCACGTAACCCTCCAGGCAGCTACAATGATCCGGTCCAGTGCACGTAGAGTTCACACAGTTTGTCTGACAGACGGGTTGACACACGAAGCTGCCAGAATCGTTGGGCACCGGCTGGTAGCCCTCGTGGCAGAGACAGATCTCTGGGGCCACGCAGTCCCCGTGCTCACAGCCCTTCTCGCAGACCGCCTCACAAATATGCTGCGAGTTCCCTTGGAAACGGTAGCCAGATTCGCAGGAGCACGTCTCTGGGTGGGTGCACTCTCCGTGCACGCAGTTGAGGCTGCACTGGGGCTCGCAGGTCTTGTTGGGGCCCATCAGGTAGCCTATGCTGCAGACACAAACCTCCGGCGAGAAGCAGAAGCCGTTGGCACAGCCTTGGCTGCACTTTGGCTCGCACTTGCCGTCTTCCCCGGTGGCCACATAGCCGGGGTAGCACTCGCACACATTGGGGGCTGTGCATTGGGCATAGTCCGAACACTTTTTGGGACAGTGCGGCTCGCACCGGTCTCCCTTCATGGTGTAGCCTGGATCGCAGATGCAGACGGAGGGTGTCAGGCAACTACTATGATCGGGACAGACCTGGGAGCAAACGGGCAGACAGTTTTTCCCTTCGCCGGCATAGCCCGCCTCGCACTCGCACACTCCGGGTCTCACGCACTGACTGTGATCACCACAATCAACCTCACATATGGGAAGGCACCTACCCTCCCCGTCCGCCTGATAGCCCTTCTCGCAGACGCAGACGTTCGGCTCCTGGCAGAACGAGTTGGGTCCGCATTTGGACGAACAGACGGGCTGACACGAGGAGTCGATCTGCGACTTGGCATAGCCGAGTTTGCACTCGCAAATTCCCGGCTCGGCGCAGAAGTTGTTATTCACACAGAGCTCTGGGCATACGGGCAGGCATTCGCCATCGTTGTGGACCTTCTGGTATCCCTCTTTGCAGGCACAGCGATCCGGCATCAGACAATACTCGTTCTTGCCGCATCTGGAACAAATGGGATCACAATTGGCTCCGCCATAGCCAACCTTGCAGCCACATTCATTCGGAGCGGTGCAGTAACTATTTCCAGAGCAGCCTTTAGAGCAAACGGGCATACAGTTGAAGATGGATCCCTCTTAGCCGTTGCAGCAGAACCTTTTTGTTTCAATTTTATAGTCTACCTGGGGGAGTAAAATATTATTTATTTTTAATTATTATTTATTTACTCAGAGCATGGAGAACACATCTACCCATCCATATACTGTACGAAACTTGGTCTCCCAGCCGCGCCAGAACGAATGCTTCTGATACGGCTCCTGTCGACTCCTGTAAGCCTGTCGCGTGTACGGAACATTCTCCTGGCGCTCACAGACCTTTGGATCGTAGGCTCGAACCGCGCAAATGAAGCCGACAGCCAGAACCAAGACCAAGCCCATCCGAGGACCTACATTTTGAGTCATGGCTTTTATGATTTGCATTTTCCAAATCTTGTGTAATTCTGGGGCACATTCGTACTCGTATCTCCTAATAAGCGTTCTGTTATGCGTTCTGCACAGCGTTCCGAATTAAACTGAGCTCTCCAACTGGGACTTCCATTCAAGTTCTCGCATCTCGTATTTGGCCACATCCGTTGTATCCGAGATAAACTACGTTTGCACTCGAAAATATTGAAAGCTCGATTTTATCTCAATAATACGTTGTATTGAGTATTGCATTGTTTAATTGGCGTGGTGATAAGAACAAAGTCTTCCAGCGACCTTGATCCTTTAATTAAATCTTTTCTTGGAGCTCTCTTAGCAAATGAATACTATACAGATACCTTTTTATATACACATTGGCACATTTTAAAGAATTCGCTTATCTACTCTTAATAATTATATTGCACAAGTATGAATGATCTGAGCGGTTCTCTTTCGATTTCAAAATATTTTTCATACTAACAAACTCATTACTAAACAATTTTTTTTATGATAATATAAGTACATATGTATGTGCATTAGAGTGGGCTGAAATTCCAAAATTGTTGAATCCTAAGTCGGCCCGGTAGTAGAAAGTTGTGTTAAAATATTCTAAGAAGCATCGAGGTCAAAATATTCGCTTTCGGCCAAGTTAGTCAAAATTTGGTTACATGTTTAATTCAGGAGTCTTAGCTGCTTCAAAAACAAACAAAACAAAAACCAAAACGAGAAGAAACGGTCTGAGTCGCTTCTGTGGACGCGACTCTGCTCTTATACCCGAATCCAGTCAGTATATAAATACTGAATTTTAAAATATTTTCTACATCTCCTCCGCTAGAGTGCGCTCGCGCACTGAACGAGGCAGAGTGTGCGAACGAGAAAGAGAGTGAGTAGCGTGTAATCGAGCTGGAGGAGGTGGGGGAAGCAAAAGGAAATTAAAGTCTTCATTCTGGCTATAATAATGATCCGATCTAAACCAGATTCGGAAATCTGGCAGATATGGTCATTCTCTACGATACTTGAGATGGTTGCTCTAGCTCTTATAGTCTCTGAGATCTAGGCGCTCATCAAGACGTACGGACAGACGGACGAACAGATAGACATGGCTATATCGACTCGGCTATTGATGCTGATCAAGAATATATATACTTTATGGGGTCGGAACCGTTTCCTTCTCTGCGTGACACACATCCACTTTTACCACAAATACAATATACCCCTTAACTCTTTGAGTTCGGGTATAGCAAAATAAAAATCAATAGTTCGCGAATTATAAAGAATTTAGAATCAGAATTCAGAATCATTTTCCGGTCGGATATGGTTCGATTTTAAGGGAATTTACAAATTTCAGTTTTGTCCATACTAACTTTTGATTTATTGACTAACTTGGCCAAAAGCGAATATTTTGACCTCGATGCGCACGGGTCAAACGTTAACCGATTTCAAAAATGTTTTCTCCCCGCTGTTCAGAATCCCTTCACACAACTTTGCATTACCGGGCCACTCTAATGCGCATATGTGCTTATATGTACATATGTGTATCTTAGGAAGATTAGCTGGAAACAATCATTGTTTCAAATGTAGAAAAAAAAACAAAACGGAAATATTACTGAGCCGCATTCCAAAGTCAATATCGGGTTTTCCAGCCCGTTGTTTAGTTGTAAATTCTTTAGATAATAATTAGTGGAGCAACCAAACGTAAATCATCTTCATTTTTAATTATTTGCACTGTCCACTGTACAAATCATTGTTAATTAGCCTATGTTTATGCACGGCAGCGGCAGCTCTTTCATTTCTATCTCGCCTTATTCGCTTTGTTGTTGCATTTTCAGCATCTAAGCTGTTCTCTCGCGTTCCATATGACGTTCTTGCTCGGCTTAGCATCTGCTCGACGTTTCATTGTACGGACGCGCGGGGTATTTATTCCATTCTCTTTTAGGCTAGCCTTTGCTCTGCTTTCGGCTTCGTCACCTCGGTCGAGTCGAGCGACAACATCATATGAAGTCTGACGACGGGAATAGGTCCAGGGCCGGATTAGCAGTTCCCTAGGGCCCCCTAGGGCTAACAAAAAATTGTTTTTAAAAAACAAAACTCCAAATAATGAATAAAAAATATAATAGCCACTGAGAAAAATAAAAAATCATCAAACAAACATTAAATTTATAAGTTTTTATTTCAAATGAAAATAGAAGGGAGCTGGCGTGAAAAAAAGGAGAGCTTCAGATTGATGGTTGCCCAGGTTATTATTATTTGTTTGTATTGTGTATTTACAGTGGAGACTCAGCCGAAAAGAGATGGCAAAATTAAAAAATATTTTATGAACGCTTTGAATAAAATAAATGTACACATCTAGCAGAAAATTTTCCAGAGCTTTAACGAATCTAACTTTTAAAATAATTTTAGTTTAGGAGATATGAGCAGAGATATGATATGAAAATGAAATATAAAACGAGAAGGAACGTGCGAGTCGCTTCTGGGGACGCGACTCTACTTATACCCGTACTCAGTCAGTATATACATTTTTGATCTTATGATTTTTTAGAATTTTAGAAATAAAAAATTTTTTTCATTTTTTTGCTACATCTGATATCTACATCTACATCTACAATGTATATTATACATCTAACATGTAGATTGTACAATGTACATGTTCCATTTAGATTCTACATTTCCTCCGCTAGGGGTTGCTCGCGCACTGAACGCGGCAGAGTGTGCGAGCGAGAAGGAAAATGAGTTGCGTTGTCGTTGGCAGGAGGGGGCAGGGGAAGCAACAGAAAATTAATTTCTTCATTCTGGCTATAATTATGATCCGATCTGATTCAGATTCGGCAGTCTGGTAGATATGGTCATTCTCTACGATACTGCGTTTTTAGTTTTATCGTATCTTTAAAAATGTGCCTGCCACAGATTTTCGTCCTTTGTGGGGGCGGAAGGGGGCGGGGCGAAATTTTGAAATACACTTGTAGCAGTGTGATATCACATGAGTCTGGAAACCAAATTTGGTTGCCCTAGCTCATATAGTCTCTGAGATCTAGGCGCTCAACAAGACGGACAGACAGACAGACAGACGGACAGACAGACATGGCTCTATCGACTCGGCTATTGATGCTGATCAAGAATATATATACTTTATGGGGTCGGAAAATTTTCCTTCTCTGCGTTACACACATCCACTTTTACCGCAAATCTAATATACCCCTTAACTCTTTTTTGAGTACGGGTATAAAAATGTATTGAACCCTTTTTCACTTTATAATTTATTAAGCTGGGCCCACTGTGCGCATCTGCTGAGCGGTCTTGAGCTCGCTTGGCTCGTTTCTTACGAATAGACGAAGCTGTCGGGCAGCGGGCTCGTGGCAGAGACGAAGCATAGCCGAAAAGAGAATTGAAACCCCGCGCGCTCCCTCTGTCCATGGGGCGTACCGGTAAGCCTCGCCATAGAACAGCTTTTTTGTCGCTCATGCAGCATCTTGGTATTGTATAGTCTTTGGTACTAGGCTTAAGTAAAACGCGCAAAATAGAAACTAGGGTTGTCAAAATTATATCAAAATATCAATATATCGATATTTTCCCAAAAAAAAAAATATATTTATATCGGGATATTTTTTTTGGCAAAATATCAATATATATTTTATTTTTGATATATTTCGATATTTTTTATTCGGTCACACTCAACCAACGCTAAAAGTTCGACATGTCTTCAGCACGTTATTATTTTTCAGATTTTACTGAAAAAACGGGAAAGTGCACTATATGCAGCCGAACTATTAAAACTATTGGAAATTCGACCAATTTAATGTCGCATTTGAAAAACAAGCATAATGATGCATACATTAAGTGTTCAAAAAAGGTAAAGAAGGCGTGTGTGCGTGTGTGGTGTGTATGCACATATAATTGCGTTTGCAAAGCGGTGCACGGAACTAAAACATATATGTACCTACATATTATAATCTACATACATATATAAGTCAATAAGAAAAACTAAGTTTTCTCGCGAAATCTGCGTGTTGGAGCACATACACCTGAAACACACACACACAGCGATACAACGATACCTACATTTTTCAAAAACAAAAACAAAATTTCGCGTTGTGAAATAAAAAAGGCAGGCGGTTTGCTGTGATCTGCAAACACACTTTTGCTAAAATTTGGAGTCATTCCGTCGTACTCCACTAAAAACTGTAGTGGAGAAAAGCATTACGTTCGAGCGAGAGAGAAATATGATGTAGCAGATTTTCATACTTTTTACAAGCCTGTGTTTTTAAACAAAAAAACCACAAAAACACAAATGTATCGTTGTATGTGTGTTTTAGTCTAGGTGTTATTTTTTTTTTTGTTATTGGCTTACATATGTACATATATATGTATGTAGGTTATAATATGTAGGTAAATACATACATATGTATATGCTTTTAGTTCCGTGCACCATTTTGCAAACGCATTTTAATTTATGTTAAAATACGTATTTTAATATATCAAGCCGTTTTTTCTAGAGGTGGAAAAACATCGATGTTTGGAGACATCGATGTTTTCGATGTTTTAGTGAAAAACATCGATGAAACATCGATGTTTTGAAAGACCCCAAAAAAAATTTTAAAAAATACATACAATACTGCAAAGCATATGATTAATATTATAAAAAATAACAGTTTTATTTCATTTGAGATCAAAATCCATTCAGAACAATATACAAAAAAAAGGTAATTTTCCCAGATTTTAAAACAAGTCCTGATTATTGTTTAGAAATAATAACTGGTCCACCACTTCCGGCTTAAGGCGACTCCGACGTTCGGAAATAATTTGCCCAGCCTTGCTGAACATCCTCTCTGACTCGCAGGATGTTGCCGGGACGCAAAAATATTTTCGGGCTGCAGCTTTAAATGGCATCATGCCGTCTGTATTCATCTAAAAATGTAACTATGAATTTAAAAGTATTTCAATTGAAATATTAGTATTACCTTCCAATATAAGAGAGGATCAGTTTCCTCAGGCTCGTTAAGGTTTTCCAGATGTTGTCTTAAAGTCATAATGGCATCCGCGCGAGTTGATTTAACTTTAACCTTTACTTTGTTTTGCAGAAAAGAAAATGTTGGATTCGGT